GGGGGGGGGGGGGGGGGTCAACGCTTTGTATGTCCATTAAAAAACACTTTTATGTTTAGGTTTAAGGGAAACCATTGATTAAAGGCACACATAATAATATTTGCAGTTTCTAAGGACTCTTAAGCTTAGGAAATCACCAAGCTTTGGCGGCCATTAATTTTTCTCACTAATTTTGCTTCTGAAACCAGGCGACCCCTCCTTCAATTGCAAATGTCTCGACTTCTATGCAAAATAAATGGATGGGTTTTTTTCTCGAAAGCGAGGCAAATGAGCAGCCTTTAAGATGATGCAAATATCTCCATAAGCCCAAAAATTGACGAACGCCTGATTCCACCTCGTCATGACACATAATATTTCTTAGAACAGACTTAATTCTGGAGTTCTAATATCGAAAAGACCATGAAGACAATTGGGGTGGGGGCGGTTTAGAATGGGTAGTTGGCGGGGCACTTTGGTCTAGTTTGAACCCCCGCCCCCGCCCCCGCCCCACCGCCCCTTTTAATTTAAAAAATCTATAAAATATCTATTGTTGTTGCCCAAAATTATCTCATATTAAGTACATGTAGACTGCTAGTAATAGAAGACAGATCGGCTTCACAATTATAACAGGACCAGAATCATGGAAGTGAAGAGTAAATGCCGAGGCCTTTATTACAATACCATACCATGTGTGTTCTTCCAAATGTGGAAAAAGAAGATAAAAAAAAGAACCTTGAAGCGGCGCAGTGTTGCCATAAAAGAGAAAGCGATCTTTAAAAGGTTGTTTAACAATTAATATGGTTGACAATTTCAGCTTTATTTCAATATTTTATTACGTTTTTCAACAAATGTGTTCGATTTAATTTTTATTCCATGAACAGGTTGTTTTACTAGGAAGAGTCTCAACTTTGACTGTTCAACTAAGTTCTAAGGTCAAGTTCAGAGTTACGTTTTGAAGTAAACTTTGACAAAATTTATATAGATCAATATCTTGTGCGGAAGCCTTCACCAACAGACTGACGAACGGTGAGTTGTTTAGGGATGGATGGAAAAGGGAAATGTTTGAGCCTGCTTCGTAAAAATACATAAGTGGGGAGCGAAAGGGAGAGAGAGAGAGAGAGAGAGAGAGAGAGAGAGAGAGAGAGAGAGAGAGAGAGAGAGAGAGAGAGAGAGGGGGGGGTGGAGGGACGGGGTGTAGGGCGAGAGTGGGAGACCAAGTACTAGTATAATAATATTTTGTCGCTTGTCTCTCTGTAGTATAACGTTTCCAGAGGCAAAGCGAACATGACGATAGACAAACAGACGTAGAGGAGTGAATGGCTTGGAGTTAACCAGGCACTTCATTTAGATGAGGAGGCGGGGTGTGAGGTGAGGGAAAACAGACAGCGGTGTACTGAGGCGGGGGAAGAGAAGGAATGTAGGGAGATGGACATTGGACAATGAGAAATTAGTTGTGTGTTTTTTTTGTGCGAGGTTGTTTTTTTTTTTGGGGGGGGGGGGGAGTTGGGGGTGAAACTGTAGTACCATGACTTTGAAAGGTCGAGGAGTCAGGTAATGAGTTGTGGTACGTAGGGGCGGAAAGGGGGACTTGTAGTTTTTTGTTTGTTTGTTGTTGTTGTTGTTTGTTGTTTTTTTTGGGTTTTTTTGTTTGTTTGTTTTGGGGGGGGGGGGGTAGATTACTTGTGAGGAGGGATAGGGGATACAGGAGAATGGCCACCTGAGTTAATTTGGATGTAAAAATTTTAATGTAATTTTTTTAATGGGGCTCGTCAATGACAAAGATCAAAGATCCTTATCGGATAAGAGCAAAAAACCCCCACCAAAAACAACAACAAAAACATCGGGGGTCCTGTATGCAAGTTGCGTACATTAAAGATTCCTTGGTGGTCCAAAATCGATAAGAGTAAGCCTCGGCCACCATCCAGGTAAAATTCAAAATTTCCAACCAAACTGAAAATGTTTAATGTGCCCCGTGCGCTTATATGACCTTAATTATTATGCAGTTTCGAGCGCCATAAAACACTGACACCCCCCCCCCCCCGCCCCCCCAAAAAAAGGAGAGGAAGAAGGAGAAAGACAGAAATCAAAGGCCAGAGTGTTTGACGCGAGCCCAGGTTCCACATCTACGTGGACCCTCTATATAATGCTGGCTTTTTTCTTTTGTGGGGGTTTTCACGATCGCGATACCCTAAAGCTACATACATGTATATGTAATATCGTTGTGGCCTGGATGGAGTGTTGGCCGACTGGAGTAAAAGAACGTTTTTGTACCGAGCGTTTGTTTTGTTTGTTTGTTTTAGTAGAAGTTTTACGGCACTCTCAACTGCATAAGGTCATGTGAGCGCCAAGGGGTGGATGTCAACAGAGAAGTCCTTACAACTTACAGGGAATCAGACTTACTCTGCTCACCTCTCTAGCTTCAACAGCCTAAAGTCTGCTTCGACTATCAAGACCCCCCCCCCCCCTGAAATAGCGGGTCACAAGAGTGTGACAAAGAAGTAGAGGAAAATGAAGATAGTAAGGATCAGGAAAAAAAAAGTAGCAGTTCTCTGTTGCAGTTCAGACACAGTAATGAGCATGACTTGATGAATCAAC